TATCTGTTTCAAAGGTGGGAGGAGATGTAGGCTTATTCTAGCGCAGAAGCCTGTAACTGGCTTGGACTGAACATCACTTACAATGCTGATATCAACTTTGGGCTACCACAATAAAAATAATGGAGCCGGACCAGATCTAACAATAGCTTAGCCACTTGTGTGGGAAAGGATCCTGGAGCACTGACTTTTCTTTTTGGAGCCACTTGTTTGAGGTGGTTCACTGTTGGAACATTGATGTAGCTGTTTGGATGAAGTTTGGCCAAGGTGCAAGTTCTTGTGAACTTCTTGTGAAGTTTTTATATGTGTATAGAGCTTTTGGTTGCACTTGAGGATGTGTATGTTTAGCCTGTCCACTTAGAACTGAGCAGGTGAAACTCAGTTAAAACCACAGCAGGAAGAATCTAAGCTATGTTGTTTGGGTGGTGTGGTTTGTTTTTTTTCCTTTTAATCTTAAGGAAATTATTCTGATAATGGATGCAGTTGGTTAGGAGTTTGGAAGATGAGTGTGCAGGAAAGGATGGTGGAGTCTTCGAGTGCTTGGCTTCTTCAGATAGTTTTTTAATGTCTTGGAGAAACACTTAAAATGTGAATCATTACTGCTACTGGCTGACTTTGGATGAACTAAAAATCACAGTGGCTGAAAGCATGCATTGACAAAGTCTGTAATAAGAAAATATTTGGGTGTATCCTTGGTAGATTTATTTTTATCACCCAGGCTAGCCAGGGTGGTAGAATCAGCAAGATCAGTAAAATAAACAAGTAACTTTAGATTAAAAAAATAAAATTGCTTTTGTCCTTTGCAAGCCTACAACTGAAAGTAGTTGCACAATAATGCTTTATAGTTTTATGTGACAACGTTAACATATTAAAGCTTTATAACTATTGTATTGGGGGTGGGGTGAATTAATCAGTTCCTCCAAATGTTTATATTATTTACTATGATACTACCTTATAGTCTGCTAATACTCCTGCTCTGTAGGTGGTAGAAAAGGAAGGGTAAAACTGTTAGCTCAGTTGCAGCCAGGTGTGCCAATTTCGTATGTGAGAACTCCAACAAAATGAAAGTAAAGGCACGTGTGTTCATGGGCACCTTAATTTTTATGGCTTTCAGTGATTTGCTTCTGAAAGTGTCTGGGCTGTAGATGCTTCAGTTGCTGGTGTAACTCCAGGCATTCAGTGCCTCTTCTCTATTTGAGACCTGTTGTATTGTACATAGAGACTTCTTTAGGTTGGATTCTTCAGGCTGAAACTGCTCCTTCTAGC